AAAGATGTCAAAACTAGAGTGTTGCGATTTAAAGTCATAAAAGCGCCGATCAAACTCGTTTGTTAACAGAGTTAGTTTGGTAGTTAACCGAGCACGTGAAAAAGCACCGGGAAATGAGGCTGAGATGATCTGACATGCAGGAAAGTGGACGAGATTGTTTTGTTCCACCTGGTACTTCCATAGATCGAGTTTGCGCTGGAAAGCTGTGATCATGTCGGACATCTGTGTGATGACTTGTTTACGTCCTTGTAGTTTCTGATTTAGCTGAGCAAGATGCTCGGTGACGTCACATAAAATAGCAAATTCACACAGCCATTTCGGATCGGACAGTTCAGACAAGGGTTTTCCTTTGTTTTTCATGAAAAGATCGATTTCTTCTCGAAGTTCAAAAAATCGTTTAAGGACTTTGCTCCTACTCAGCCACCTTACTTCTGTATGGTATGGCATATCTTCATGCTCTGAACCCACCTCCTGCAAGAACATCTGAAACTGGCGGTGATTCAGGCCGCGCGCCCGAATAAAGTTGACTGTTTTCGTGACAGTGGTCATCACATTATCCAGCTCCAGAACCTTTCCACACAGCGCTTCCTGATGGATAAGGCAATGATACGTGATCAGCGGCGTCTGATTGTTGCTTTTTTGCATTTTTTCCTTCATTAGTCCAACCAAGCCTGTTTTTCCTCCACACATCGCAGGTGCACCGTCTGTAGTTAGTCCCACCAACCTTTCCCACGGCAATTTATTTTTACCGACAGACTTCTCCACAGCATCAAAAATGTCCCGGCCGGTTGTGGTTCCATGCAGCGCCACTATATCCAGGAGCTCCTCGGTTACAGACAGGTCTGGCATCACCCCTCTAATAAAAATGGACAAATGCGCCGTATCCACGTTGTCTGTACTTTCATCCACAGCTAATGAAAAAGCTAGACAGCTGCCCATTTCTTCGGCCAGCTGTGTCGCTATATTTCCGGCAATGTCCTTAACTCGTTCCGCGATGGTATTTCTTGACAAACTGACATTTTGGAAAGTCTGTACTTTTTCGGGACACACCTGCTCACACACCTTTAGCATACACTGCTTCAAAAATGCACCCTCCGAAAAAGATTTTGAAGCTCGGGCGATTTCTTCAGCTACAATAAAGCTTGCTTTCACCGCTGCATCATTTTTGGCTGTGGCTTTTGTAAACAATTTCTGCTGCATTTGCAATCTGCCTTTTAAATCTGCTGCAATTTTGTTTTTCTTGAAGGCTAAATTTCGCGTACTTAGCTCCGTGTTTTGTTTCAAAATGCCGACGTATATTGTATTCTTTCACAACGGACACTGCCCCAGAACACAAAAGACATACTGGTTTTTCACCTTGTAGTACAAAGAGGTATTCGTTTTCCCATCGTTCATGAAACAGTCTTCCTTGTAAATCGATTTTTCTCTTCTTAGACATTTTGATGTTAGCTTGTCGATGTTTCAGTTTTATTCTCTGGGAAAATTAATAATCAGCTTGAGGTGACTCTGCTGCACTCTAGTGGCGAGAAGCCCTAATGGTGGCTGGTAACAATCAGAAGGCATTATGGGAGATGTAGTTTGTGGTCAATTTGTGCTCAAAACCTATTTTAAGTCAATCAATAGCCCTGTAAAACTGTGGTGGGGGGGAGAGGGCCACATAAAATCACGTAGCGGGCCACATGTGGCCCGCGGGCCTTGAGTTTGACACATGTGGTTTAAACTATAGATCTCATCAAACTATGACGGTTCATCGCCTCCTACTGACTATCTACGGTACTACTGCTCTCTAAGATTGAAGGAGGGAATTAAGCAAATTAAAATGGCAGTGTTCGGGACGTTTTATTATGGTGATATTTTTTGTTTGTGGAGCGTCAGGCAACCATGTTTGCGCGGTTCATTCATGTCTGGTTCATTTTGCGTGCCATTTACACTCAACAGTTGTCTCGGCTACACTGTCGGCATGGTTTCAAAAGGTAGTGTAAATGGGGCTAATAGTTTATAGTTCTAAGTTTGATTCAATCTGGTTGTTATATATAAACTGTTCTCTGTGCCTTTAACAAACCTGATTTTATTTTTCTCTGTAATGCTCAATAAATTTGTCTACTCTCTTCTAGATTACGCTGCTGAAGTACTTCCGTAACTACATGAGCGAGCACCTGCTGAAAGCCGGTGCCAACGTAGCACGGCAGGAAGGGGACGAGCTTGCGCGGCTGCCGTACCTTTCGCTGTGGTTTAGAACAAAGAGCGCCATCGTCCTGCACCTCACCAACGGACTGGTTCAGATCAACTTCTTCCAGGTTAGACTTGACCCGCTTCACGTTCCTCCTCTTTCGTCTGTTCTCAGCTTTGCAACGCTTCATGACTAACGCCTCTGATTTTTACAGGACCACACCAAGCTCATCCTGTGCCCGCTGATGGGGGCTGTGACCTACATCGACGAGAAGCAGGGCTTCCGCACCTACAAGCTGTCGCTGCTGGAGGAATTTGGCTGCGGCAAGGAACTGGCTAGCCGCCTGCGCTACGCCAGGCTCATGGTGGAGAAACTGCTGGAAAACAAGTCCTCTGCTGCACAGTAAACATCTTTTCCAGGGTTCTTCACCATTTGACACTGACTCAAACCTTTGAATGATCTTTTATTGGGGCAGGCAGTGCAACTTATCTCACCCTTAAATGCCCTATATAATGAAAATGCCTTTCATGTGTCAAAATGTCACTTCCTGCTCATGTTTTTAAATGTTTCTGCTGTTAATAGAAACTTTCATTCTTACCGTGACTTTAATTAAGCTTTCCTTTACACATGGCTGCTGTATTGCAAACAGCTACGGATAATCTTGAAAATACTTTTTCTACTTTGTTTGTGCACTATGGTCTGTTGTTTGAAGTTCAGAGGTGGGAAGAATTTCAGACTGAGCCTATGGTGTCCATGTGGATTAAAGTAGGCCTCTCCAACCTCTTTTCTGTTTCTAAGTCGGTTTTCTGTGTGTAGAATTAGACCATGTTGAACATGTACATTCTTCCTGTTCTTATATATTTTTTTAACTTGGGACTTTCCGATGAGATGTGCATTTGTACAATTGTACATACTGTTGAGGATGCTTCCCTTTTTGTAAAAATGGTGTACCTCTGTTTAAATAAAGATTCCTTTGAAATTGTCATTTTTTATTTTTTGCTTTAGTTGCATAAATCAACTGATCCTTGTCAGGTTTGCATGAAATATTGCAGGAACGAAGTGTTACTAAGGTTTAGCTTTGGATACCATTATTGTCATTATCCTCCAGCTTTTGGTAAAGCTACTCGGCTGCTGTTCTGTCAGATGAGCATACCCTGTCAGACCAGCATAACCAGTTGATACCCGTTTAGAATCAGACATACTTTAATAATCCCAGAGGGAAATTGCAGATTTGTACCGTTGTATGAAAAATAGACTTTAAACTATCTCAATGGGTATTATCCATTAAGCATTGTACATAAAAACCTAATTCCTTTTTGGTGTTCTTTTGAAGCGTAGGGCAATCTGACCTCAACTTGTTTTTTTTGTACATGAATAAAGGGATAAAAGCCCTTCGAGGTAGTTTAAAGTCTTATTTTTCATACAAAACTAAAGGGATAAATGCAAATATGTCTGGCTCATTTGTATTAGCAATAGATATGCTGGACTGAGGTGTGCTCATCTGAGAGAACACTACCAAGGCTTTCTGAGAAATTATATTGGTATCTCCATCAATTTTGATGGCAGAAAAAAGACATGGAATTCTTTTTGGTAGATGGTTACATTCATCCTGGAAATCTCAAATCGCCAGAATGCTGAAGCTTCAACTTTACTTGGTTTCTGTACCTCTTCATGTTCATGGATCTGAATGTCCAAAAAAAAAAAAAAAAAGGTTTAGCATCATTTAGATCAGGGGTGCTAAAGTCCAGTCCTCAAGAGCTCCCATCTTGTAACTTTTAGATGCATCTCTTCTCTAACACACCTGAATCTAAAGACTCAATCCTCTATTTTAGCTCAGCAGAGATGTGGCAACGAGCCACGCATTTGATTCTGGTGCATCAAAAAGTTACAGGAGAGTAGATCTTGAGCACAAATGTTTGTGTGCATCCTGGAAAAGCACAGGTTCAGTCATTTTTGTGTATGGGAAAGAGCTAAAAAAAATAACATTTTTGAGTTTAAAAAGGCATTCATAAATTCATTTTAACATGTCCATTACATCTGTTAATTATTCTCCAGATGAACAGTATTTATATTGTAGAAACACTGAACAGTACAGCATTTTATTTTTTTTCTTAATCCTGTCAATTATTCTCTTTTTATAAACTTTAAGTTCCACATTTGTGTGACCTCTTTTGCTGCTGCTGTAACATCACAATTTCCCCATTGTGGGACAATGAAGGGATTTTCTATTCTAAATGGGTATTGGATTCAGAACTTATTTGGTTACTAAAAGAGAAACTCAGTTCTTCAAATTCATAAACTGCTTTATTTACATAGCTCCAATTTATTAGAAATTATCTCAAAGTTCTTTAGAATAAAGTTCAGAGAATACAGGTAGATGGGTGGAAATGTTTATGCAATTAAGTCTTGATTCTGCATAAAAATGAGAAGCATTATTATACCAAACTAATAAAAAATCTCTTTATTTATGGATGAAACAGATCATCAGTTATATAAGTGGTTAAAAATGTTACAGAAGATTTGAGAAATTATGATTAATGAAGAGATTTCTTTTTCCTTTGTCAAAAGCTAAAATGCTTCAGATGTTACAGAGACAGCTTTACTAAAGGAATTTAAGTTGTAATCTAGAAACACCAACCTCAGCCACAATCTATGCCTTGTGGATCTACCCCACACTCTAAATGGGCTTAACTTCACTTGTTTTCTCAAGGCTCTGGTTATTACTGTTGTCTTTTTTATTATAATCACTTTTCCTCTTCAATCTATTTCCCATTAATATGCTTTGATAAAAATCAGTTAATGTCCAAAGAAAAAGAAAACAAGTCAAATATGCGCATTTTTAATAGAAAACTTTAATACAAACTATAAGAATTTTTTTTCTCCTTTAAATATAACAATATTCATGCATATAAGCAAAGAACAGTTAAAACAGCAGTGGTGATAAAAGTAAAGTTGAACAGTACAGAAAGAATTTGAAATCTTCAGTCAAAAACAGTTCCTGTGGTTCACATCTGAGATAAAACCAGATCTTCCTCTTGCTGCTTTTGCTGGATTTACAGCATGAAAAGACATCAGTTATCTGTAATTACAGCAGCCTGGGCAAAGAGGAGGCCCTTCTGTTAGGGAGGCTGGTTGATAAGGTGACTGATTTATGTTAAGTTCAGCTTAAACTGATCAATGTTCTCAGAGCAGCGGGGTTCTAGTCTTTTTTAGTGTGATGAGTCTGCTTGACGCTGCTGTAGGAATGTAAGGAAACGTCTCCATTCTGATGTCCGATCACCAGCGAGTCCTCTTCCCCCCATCGAGCTAGCTGCCAGTCCTCATCCTCCGGAGCCTCCATCGTCCGAGGGGTTCCCCCGTCTCCGAGCTCCCACACGCAGACACGACCGCTCTGACTCAGGCCCACTATGCTGGAGCGGTTAACGTCTACTTCACAGATCCTGTTGGGCAAAGGAAGAGGAGGTGTGCATCACTAATGTGTGCCAAACAAACCTGTCCTCCATCTCTCTTCATCTTACCTGCCGGTCCAACTCTTCGGAGGACGCACCGCAGTAACCAAGACAGATTTTCCACTCAGAGGATTGATGCCAACTAAAGAGAACAATGCTGGCTTCAGCTCCCCCTCTGAAAGAATCTCATTTTCCTCTCGTTTTGCTTTATTTTCTAGATCCAGGGATCTCAGGAACTGATGCTGCAGCAGAACTAGCAACAATCCCTGCGCGACGATTAAAAGAAAAATACATAAAGATAATCATTCACACTTGAGGTGACAGTCATATCATGGGGTTACTTACACAGTGGGAGTAACCTCTGAGGCAGGCTGTGTTGGATAAACTGTGTTCTAGCAGCACTCTGCTCAGCAGCTGGCCAGTTTTTAAATTCCTTAAATAAAATGACAGAAATAAAAAAATTATCACTGTTTTTCCTTTAATCCATTATGAAACTGAAAGACTCCCAGCCTCTGAAGTTATCTGTCTTTCCACAAACTAAGCAATGTCTTTCTCCCTGCTGAATAAAATCTCCCCACAGCATGATGCAGCCACCGTAGGACTACAGTGCTCAGAATGATGCAAAGGTCAATGTTTGTTATACGAATCACATATTGCTGTCCTAGAAGGGCGAACATTTTAATTAAAGCTGTCCTGTCAACAGCTTCCTTCACCTGAGCTGTGGAGCTCTGTAGCTCCACCAGCCTCATCTTGGGCCACCTGGACGTGTCTCTTATTAATGCCTCCATTGTTCAGCGGATCAGTTTAATAATTATATAACAGAACTTTATTGATCTCACATTGGAGAAATTTACCTCTGCATCTAAGCCCTCCCCTTGGGGAGCAGTGGGCTGCCATTGTGGGGCGCCGTTGAGCAGTGTGGGGTTAAGGATCTTGCTCAGAGACCCAGTCTGTTGGAGTGGGGCTCCAACTCAGAACCTCAGGGTTCCAATCTCTATGCCCTAACCACTAGGCTGCCACCCCCGGGGAAAGTTCCTAAGCATATTTAAGTCCCAAAACTTTTCCAGACTCACCTTTCCAGTCTTTAGTCCTTTAACAGTATCACATATTTTCAGTGGGTCACACTAAGTTTACTGCAGATCTAGGCTTTGGAAACGGAAACAGGGAAGAAGAGAAACTGGAAAGAAGGAAGGAAGAAAGGACACAAGGGAAGAAGAAAGGATAAATGAAGCAAAGACACCAGCATGAACGGAAAGGGTGACACAAAGGTAAAAATGGAAGAGGGATGGCAAAAAGAAGGGGCATGAGGGTGGAAAACAGGTAGACCATAAGAAAGGAAGGAGCAACAATAGGAATGGATGTAGGATATGAAAAAAAGGAAGGAGGGTAACAAAGGAGAGAACAAAGCATGGATGAGGTAGGGAGAAGGACACATGCAAGTCATTAAGTAAATTAACTAAAAAGAAAAGGCAGACTGAGATGGAAGAAAGGGAAGAAAACAGTTAATGGGAGGGAGGAAAAAGGACTGAAGTATACAACCTTAAGCGAAGGAAAGTAGGAGAAAGGAGGTATGACAGGATACAACAGTTAGAAGATAGAATTCATGGAAATAAGCCTAAAAATCTGAATATTTTTCCTATTTTATTTCCAGTCTGAGGAAATACTGATCAGATCCCAGTCTGTGTTTGAACTCCACCTTTTCAAATCAGGATGATGTAATGAACTATTGATCCATCAAACCCCAAAACAAACTACACTGACCATTGTGGTTATAGAGTTATGAAGAGTTTTGAGGCTTGTGCATATTTTTTCCCTAGTAACCGTTCTTTAAAGTAATACACACTATTGAATTTAAAAATACAATTCCTCAATTTACCAACAAAGGGAGGTAAAAACAATGGGTGGGTTTTTGATCTAATCAGTAGTGCTCCCTCCCACCATCACTCACCAGATAAAAAGGTGTCCTCCCTCATCTGTACCAATGAGAGCATCAGGAAGTCCCTCTACTGGAGCGAGAGCGCTCACACAGACACCAGGAGACACAAGAGGCTGAGAACTCAGTCTGCTGAAAGACACACTAAATTAGAATCTAATATCAGTGTATCAGCAAGAGATGGGAGACAGTCCGCCTTACCTGCTGCTGTCTGACAGCGTAAACACCTGCAGGGTGGAGCCTACAGTGGAATCGGAGGAGGTAACCACTCTGGAGTTGAACAAGCCAACCACTGCATGGATGATGCCCTCGCATATTAGCATCTGCCGGAGGCTGAAACAGGACAGCATTCTGGAAAACAAACCGCACACACAAGAGACAGTTCAGCATTATTACTGAGTTCATTTATTCATGAGCTTGGCTTGACATGAAGGGCATGAAAAGAATGAGCAATAAAGCATCCAACAAATTAAAGAAGGAACTAAATCTATGCTTGTATAACCCGGATGATTTAAAGATTTTTAAATGTGAGAAATCTAGATCTGATTAAAGCAGTTATGTGCCATCATGTACAGAGGTTCATCAAACTTAGCAGCTTCATTGTTTTTAAAAAAACTTCCCTGACAGAGTTCAAGTCTTTTCTCCCTTATGTAGGGGTCGACACACCAAATCATTACAATTTACACAAAGACTTTTTAATGCAGCCAGAGTATAAGCAATTCTGCCACACCACGAAGGGACGTAAAATATTTTTACCTCAGCTCTCTTATCTCCAGCTGACCCAAAGATACGAACATCAGGCCTTCAGAGTCTGGGACGGGAAATATGTTTATCACAGGCTGCAAAAAAAAAAAGAAAATGAATCAATAAACATTCCTTACTCTCTGTGTCTTCTGTAGTTCCTGTAAGTGAAGAGCTGCACTGTACTATAAAAATGAGTTTAATTTGTTTAAAGCTACAGTGTGTAACTTTTAGCGACATCTAGCGGTCAGACTGCAGCAACATGAACATCTCCCCCCCAACAGTACGGCGAGCGTTACGGGACAAAATGTCTTCCACGACGTCCGCATCACCTACCTTCTCAAGTAATGAGGTTTGTTTACATAGATAATTTTACAGATAGTATTTCATTAGTCTGTGTAGGGTATAGATTTCATGTAGACTTAAGATAATAAATATACCCGTTATTTTTTATACATCGTTGTGACATTTTGGCGATCTTGCAATCGCTAGTTTGTTGGCTCTGCGCTGCCGTAGCGCAAAGATGTCTGCCTCCATGGCTGTGAGACCCGCTCCTATGTAATTATAAATAACGAATTCTAAGGCAACGCAAATATTAAGGTCAAGAGGCTGAGCTCGTAGATGATGATAAATAACATAATTATATATAATATATTACATTTCTGACTCTATATCCCTGTAATTATTACACACTGTAGCTTTAAAGTTAGAAGTTATCAGTCCACAGATTAATTGTATTATGCTAATTAATTAATTAGCTGGTAATGCACTGCATACTTAAAAGAAAAATGCTAATCATGATTTTAACATAATGTATCAGGACAATCTTGGTGCCAGAGCCCGATCTTTACTGGTCCTACAAACATCTGGTCTGGGTTTCTCAAGACAACCTATATTCAAGTATTAGGCCACATCGCAAAGAAAAGTCTTGACAAGTAAACTATTAAAGGATTGCAGCAGAAGGCTGCAAAAACCAAAATACAAGAGTGTCTCTGTAACTTAGAATTACAGCTGGACGATACAAACTAAACCTATATCATGGTATATTTCTTCATTTTGGCAATACGATGCAGTTTCAAATTTGATGGAAACAAGATAAAAGCCTTGCGTTCAGGGTTAAAACTTTCAGCTAATGAAATCTCAAAGTTCATTTTCTAGGTAAAAAAAAAAAATCACCAAAAGGGTGATTAGAAGAGAAATGTTACAGGCAAAAAAATCACTTGCACCCTCCACAAGTGCATTGACAAAGTGGAAGGACAACATCTCAAACAGCTCTCCACAGACGCATGGCCCAACACAGAAGAGCGACCTCCTCTGGACAAGACTCTACGGTACATCTAAACTTTATGGAGAAAGGACATTCTTTTCAGGACCAGAATGTTGACATTATGGAGAAAAAAAAAAAAAAAAGGTGGTTTGGGAGGGGCGTGAAGGAAGCCATCTGTAGTAAGAGAGAAAAACCAACCTTAAACAGAGGGGGTGGACTCAGATTTCCGCTTTCAAAAACCTACAATGCAGCAATTGAGTTGATCCCTTCCCGCTATCACCGCAACCTCAACCCCTTTACAGTGGAACAGAAGACCTCCCCTATTCAGCCAGGCCAACATAAAACCTAATAGATCTAGAAAAGCACTCTGAGAGTGCAAATCTCCATCAAGCAGCAAACTTTGCCCCAAATTGTGACATATTCTGGATAATTACCAAATTTAAATGATTGTTCCTTAGCATGAGGCGCAAATCTGGTAAATGATTTCCTGACAGAGGATCGGCGGGTCTCTGCAGCCTCTGGTGTCAGTTCTGCTCTAACCTTCTTCATTCACTCTGCTTTCTTTGATCTGTAGATCGAGACTTCAAATGCATGGCTCCCTTTTCTGGTGTTTTTCTCTTCAGTATTACACTTTCTGACTTTTGAGTCTGATGCAAAAGCTGTCAATAGTCACTGCTGCTACCCTCTGGTTTAGGGGAGAACTGCTCGTTCCAACAAATAAATATAAATAAATCCTGTATCTGGTTTATGGTCTGGATCATCACCAAAATGCATCATACTGTTCCTTGGCATGCAGTGCACCTCTGTTAAAAATGTGGTAATTAAAATTTGTTCACAACTTTTAAAGTAATCCTGCTAATAGACAGACAAATGAACATAACTAAAAAAAAGCTCCTCTGTGGAGGTATTCAGTCACCTCACTAAAGGTCCAGGTGTGTCTGAGGCTCCAGTCAGACTCTGAGGTTTGGCTCCACAGGCATACCGCCCATTTTCCTGCGGCTGCAACAGACAAAGCACCTCCTTGACCTGAAACACAGCACGCATCCACCAGAGAGCCGCCAGCCGGTGCCTGAAAGGCAGAAAGTAAGGCAGATTGTTTACCCCAGGAAAGGAAACTGAAGAGGTAATAAACACAGTGAAGGTAACTGCTGCTCACAATACAAGAACTGAGGAAAAACAAGTTTCTACCTCCAGTGTGTGTGTGCACCTCAGCAGCCATTTATCTGCAGTTTCCTCTTTAGTCATTCCCTTCTCCACAGCTGAGCTCTGGAGCTGGATCCTGGATGCAATTGGACAGGCGGCGGGTTCTCCTCTCTTATCCTGATCGCTTAAAGCTGGAGAAGGAACACTGGGAGGGAGGGAGGTGATGAACGAGATAGGAGAGAGATCAGGAGGAGACAGATCCTGAGTGGAAGGGCTGTGAGGTGGAGGCGGGTGAAGAGCGGGAGCAGAGGGCGAGGAAGTTAGCTGGGCGGGATTAGGGGTGATTCCCAAGGAGGGCAGGACTGGGATGGATGCTGGAGTGGATGAGGGGATGTAAGGGGGTGTAAAGGAGGATACCATTGACTCCAGAGGAGACTTAAACACAAATTGAGAGTCTGTATTATTCATCTTTGTGTCTTTGGAAAAGTTTGTTTTAGGTTCTTCATATAAGCCATTTACAGGAAGCTTTGCTGTAGCCTTAGAGCATACTGGGGAATCTGTAAAGGTTGTAGGAGCCTCCTCTGCTGTTTTACTTTCACTGAAACAAAAGGACCGTTGCTCAGTGACAGAGCAATCTTCAACCTGAGGATCTGTCATTATGGGATCATGTAAACGAATATGCTTTCCAGCAGGCTGCTCCACTTTTGACTCATCTGAGTGAGCATTTTCTTCGCACACGCTACTTCCCACCACATCCTGATGAGCTTCCAGTTCAACGCAGTTTATAGAATTAGCAGTACGGCTAGAGGATGTGCAGCTCTGAGTCCCAGTGTCACGTTCTTCCAGCTCACAGCTTCCAGTGATGCCTTGCACCTCTAAAACGGCTTTGCTTGAATCTTTAAGTTTGTCTACATCAAGCTTCATATTAGTTCCTGAAATATCTGGATCACATAGTTCTTCAGTTACGCTCGTATTACTCAAATTATCAGTGAGCTTGCATTCTGTCTGCTCGCTCTCATTCGGACAGGGCCAGTTTGAGATCAGAGGCGTGAGACTGAGCGGGAGGCGACAGGGCGTCGGTGGACAGATGGCGCTGTAGAGGCAGTTAGAGCGTCGCCGTGTGTTGTGCGATGGGGTGGAGAACTGTTCGGGGCCTGATTCCATGGCAACCTGACGGAGCTTGTGCAGCTTCAGGGAGGCAAACTGGTCATCAGGGAGGTGGAAATCTTGCAGGATGTCTAAGTTCTTCAAACTGCGGATCAGAGAGGGAAGAGAAGGCGGGGGTGTTTGAGGCAACGAAGAGACGGGGGGCAGGAGAAGAGACGCCCAGTCTGATGTGCCTGCAGGATACAAATAAAAAAGGTTTATGATATTAAGCAATTGCAAAACAAAAAAAAAAAAAACATTAGCAGCAGCTTATATTTAAAGATTTTAGGTATTCATGATTGGATTGAAATCTTTTTGACACTGCGCAACACTAGAGAAGCTTTGTTCCTTAATACTACCATTTAGTTTGAGGTTTCTCTTCAATATAACAAAAAATATGATTATTTTTTATATCTTTTTGTAATGAGCATTCAATAATGTCATAAACAAACAAGAGATATGTTAAGTCGCTTCGCCAACAGAGGGTGTTACTGTCATTTAAAAACAAACCCATTCTAGGATTTAGCAGACCTACTGGTCCCATGTGAGATGTTCAAAGGGCTGCCAACATTTCCAAATCCAGTTTAGAAGTGAAATATGGAAAAAAACAGAGTAAATTTGTTGCACTTTTATTTTATTCTCAGGATGTTTTGCTTTCTCTTGCGTTCTCACACCCTGAATGCATCAAAGACGTGTCTCAACATTTACAAAATACAGCTTTCTTTTAAATAGCTTCCTGCATTTTTTTTGCTTAATTTCTAGAAAAAAAACTAACTAATTCTTAAAATACAAAGTGGACAGCAAAGAGTGATTACTTTTTGGTGTAGTTGTTTTGCAAAGCTGTGCAGATGTGAGCTCAGGTATTAACAGGAAAACTGTTAGCTTTACATTCTACAAATCTGCCAGTTGAAATATTCATCCTAAAAAGGCCTAGTCAAAGTCCAGACCTAAATATAACTTCAGATCTCTCTCTATTTTAGATGTAACCCAAAGGGCCGTGGGATAGATGGAAGTGCATCATCAAGGAAGTTCTGTTAACTTTAAAAACAGGCAGTATCGTGTGAAACTATGCCACATTTGTCTGAATTTTATTGGTAATAAATTAATAAATAAATGAATGAACGAATAAATAAATACATAAATAAATGTAATTCTGTACAGTGAAGCAATACTTAGTGCTCGTATTTTAAAATCCCAACCAAATAAGTTGTAGCTTTTGGCTGTAATGTTTAAAAATGCACAACAATTAAAGGGGTGTGAATATTTTTGCCATGCACTGCAAAAAAAAAGTTGTTTAAAAAAACAACATCTAGAAAGTTCAATAAGACTGAAAGAACCAGTAGGTTATATTGATTTAATCTCTGTAAAAACGCACCAGCCTATAGAACAGTCACTGTAATGTGTGAATCCAAGGTTTACCTGTGTTCATCTGTTGGCTTCTGCTGCTGCTGCACTTCAGGAAGATGGGATAGACTTTCTCCTGAGCGTTAGCAGCATTATTGGTTGGAGCTCCACTATCTACAGCAGGTTGGGCTGGAAAGCTGTGGGTGAAGGACTGCTGGGGTCCAGATGTCTCTTGATCTTCTGGTAATGGTGTTGCAGAGGCATGTGTCTCATCAGCCTGATGGATAGACTGAGTAGAAGGTATAGCGGTAATGGGGGTTTGTTTACATACGGGTGGTCTCAGAGACCTCCCCCTGCCTCTACCTTTCCTTCTTCCTCTGGGTGGACGGAGGCTGGGGACTGGAGGTGGAAAGGGACCTTCTGGAATGTCAGAGCTGGAAGTGTCAATGGAGCTCTGGCTACAGTCTTCACAGGGATTAGCAGTAGATGGCTTAAGAGGCTCTAGAGACGTGGACGGAGTTGTCGAAGAGGATGAATCCGTCTGAGTGTTTCGGTCGCGTTGCTGGGAGTCCCTGTGGGTTCCCCTGCTGCGGCCTCGACTCCTGCGGTGGCGCCCTGCACTGAGCCGAGACTGGATGACCGCCTGCACATCGGGCTGGCTCTGGGAAAGCGCCATACGCCTTGTGGTTCGAATGTAGTACTCCACAGGGAAAAGTAGTCCTTCAACTAACGTGCAGGAGTCTAGGAGGCTGGCAGCTTTTTCACTGGCTGTGGTTTGATTCTTTTCTACTTTGTTTTCAACAATCTCCTCCTGTTTTTCAATTCCTGTCACCTGGGCAGCATTTTGTTTAGTGTTTTCTTGTTTCTCCTCTTCACATCCTACTGGATCACTCTCCTTGCTTAGCCTAATACCATCTTCTCTTAACTCACTATCCATCAAACTGTTTTCTCTAACATCTTGCCCTTCATCTGTGGTTAAAGCAGGTTTACCAAATTTCAGATGAACATCCTGATCAGTCTCCTCTCCCCGGTCATCCTGGGGTCTTTGGTTCTCCTTTACCATTTTGTCTCCAGATTCAGTGTTTTCTTGTGTGCTCCAATGTGTGAGTAGCAAAGAAGGCGACTCGGAAAACTGCTCTTCACTTTCATTGACAACATTTTCTTCCTTTTCTTTAATTGTTGCGTTTTCAATCCCTTCAGGTTGCTCCTGTCTGCTGTCGAGAGCGTCAGCACTCCTCCTTTCCCAGCGTAAGCGGCTACGTTTTGACCGCAGCCGCAAGGCTGGGCTGGGTCTGTGGCTTCTAGTGATGTCATTGCTGGGATCTGGGGTTTGTGGGTATGCAGAGTCTCCAGGGAGCGAGAATCGTATCACCGGTTTCCTCCTGGATGCATCAGAATCTACTGCATCTGCTAAAGCATCAGATAATTACTCAAAAAATCATGTATACAGTTTCAGCTGTGATTCTGGTGAAATTACAAGTAGGTACAATGAGAGAGAAATATTAGGTCACATTAAGTCAGACTTACCCTGATACTGTTGTGAGTCAGGGATGCTTGCCTTGTTGAGAATAAACGAGGAGGGACTGATGAGAGAGTTGGATGTAACCACTGGCTCTCTCTGCTCTTGGTGTTTGTGGAGAGAAATCCTACTTTTCACATGCCTTCTCACTGCATCCAAACGCTCGGCACGCTGTGCAGGAATCAACATGTGGATATTATGTTAAAAAAAAAAGAAGAAACAGTCCCCTATTGCTTGTGATAAACCAGCAATGTGGCTCATAGGTATCATTTCTTCTCCCATTCTTCACCTTTAAATTGTGACTTTTATTTTTATTTTAACTGTTAGAGAGAAGTTCTCAAACTATCTTTAATTCAAATGAATTAATTTAATTAGATAGATAGATAGATAGATGATTGATAGATAGATATATAGATAGATAGATAGATGATAGATAGATAGATAGATGATAGATAGATAGATAGATAGACAGACAGATAGATAGATAGATAGATAGATAGACATATTTATATATATAGATAGATAGATAGATAGATGATATATATATATATATATATATAGATATATATATGATATATATATATATATATATATATATATATATATATATATATATATACACTATATTGCCAAAAGTATTTGCTCACCTGCCTTGACTCACATATGAGCTTAAGTGACATCCCGTTCCTAATCCATAGGGTTCAATATGACGTCGGTCCACCCTTTGCAGCTAGAACAGCTTCAACTCTTCTGGGAAGGCTGTCCACAAGGTTTAGGAGTGTGTTTATGGGAATTTTTGACCATTCTTCCAGAAGCGCATTTGTGAGGTCGCACACTGATGTTGGACGAGAAGGCCTGGCTCTCAGTCTCCGCTCTAATTCATCCCAAAGGTGTTCTATCGGGTTGAGGTCAGGACTCTGTGCAGGCCAGTCAAGTTCATCCACACCAGACTCTGTCATCCATGTCTTTATGGACCTTGCTTTGTGCACTGGTGCACAGTCATGTTGGAAGAGGAAGGGGCCAGCTCCAAACTGTTCCCACAAAGTTGGGAGCATGGAATTGTCCAAAATGTCTTGGTATGCTGAAGCATTCAGAGT